TTTTTCAAACTATGTCCTTTAAGAATATACAAAAAAAAAAAAAAAGAAAATCGATTTTTTTCAAAAGTTCACACTAGAATACTCCCTCAAGTGTGTCGCGTGCTCTTTAACGGAGAACAATTGATCTCGGGGGAACAATCGCAACGATCGCCGGAAGCCAAGTCGTTTTCTCGATTGCGCGCGAAATTCCGCGGAGCGGTGGTGTAGACGTTGTTGGCCTGCAACTCCAGCTTGCCTCCCACGATTAATTCGATCCTCCGCCGTTCGTGAGGCGGAAACGGGAGTGAGATGGCGGCGAGGGCTGCGAGAGAAATGAAAATGAGATCGTTATTGACCGTTCGTGCCTCGTTTGAAGGCGAACGGAAGGCACAGCCGGATGCAATTCTCCGCGATATTGTTTTTCCCCGTCGTGCCTCCTGTTAAGAGATAACATTGATATCCAGCTTTGTGTTCCTTCGTCTCTCGTCTATCGTTTGTCGTCTCGCACAATAACGTTCGAACGTTCGAAACAGGCGTTCGAGGAAAATTGGCTTCGCGTCGCTTTCTGCGTGAAATTTAAAAAAAAAAAAAATTTCTCGCCGAATTCGTATAAATTCGTGGCTCCCAACGTGGGAGAAATTTAATTTTCTAGGGGAGGAGGGGGGGGGGGCAATTCGAGAATACTGACAGTGTGATATACTCCTTTTTGCACTTCTTTGAACGAAAATTTCTAATTTTTGTTGGAAACTCTTATTCAGACTGCTTATTTAGAAGTTAATTTGCTTAGGCCTTTTAGGCTTTCTTTCGCTAGTGAAAAGTCCATTTTTTTGAATAATAAGAGTTGTATGTATCACAGGAGTAAGACATCAGAATTTTAGAGCTGCTAGGGATGGAACAAAAGAAGCATTTTGGGAACCACGGGTTTATAAATATATAATATATAAATATACAGTATAGATATGTAAATATATAATATTTAAATATATAATATAGGTATGTAAATATATAATATTTAAGTATACAGTGTAGGTATATAAGTATATAATATTTAAATATACGATATAGATATGTAAATATACAATATTTAAATACGCAATATAGGTATGTAAATAGATAATATTTAAATATACAATATAGATATGTAAATATATAATATTTAAATAAACAATATTTAAATATGCAATATAAGTATATAAATATATAATATTTAAATATACAATATAGATATGTAAATATACAATATTTAAATATGCAATATACGTATATAAATATATAATATTTAAATATACACTATAGGTATATAAATATATAATATATAAATATACAGTATAGGTATATAAATATATATTATATAAATATACAATATGGGTATGTAAATATATAATATTTAAATATGCAATATAAGTATATAAATATATAATATTTAAATATACAATATAGGTATATAAATATATAATATATAAATATACAATATGAGTATATAAATATATAATATATAAATATACAGTATAGATATATAAATATACAATATAGATATATAAATATATAATATACAAGTTTCAAACGTTGTTCTTTCGGTGCCTGGAAGGAAACCACCGGCATCGAATGCTTCGCTCGATTAGCCTCGACACGTTTATCACACGTTTTTTAAGTGAACTTCAAACATTCATCTTCTCTGAAGCGATTCGTCGAAATGGAGCGATCGCCGCCTTTTGTTCAGGGCAAAGCGAAATTTTTTCGTCGTGACTCGGACTTTTTAGTCCTCGCGAAGGATAACGCGAGTGAACGAAATACTCGATGAAAAATTGTTCTGGAATGCTCGGTCTTAAATTGTTATAACTTTGTCCAAAAAGAAAAAAAGAATTGAGGAAAGATAAATGGCACGGTCTTTTGGTTTAATACGGTTTTTTTAACACTAAAACTACCAATGTGATCAAAATTTATAATTTTTATCAAATGTTTTATAGACGTGAAACAGCGTATTTTATAAATTTTATAAAATATTTTTTTCAAATAATTTTTCGTAAAATAAAAGCCTGTATTATAAAGTTTCTCTATTTTTTAGTTTTACATTTTAATCGGTAGCTCTAACAGTGTTAATATTAAAAGTATACATACATACATACACATATATATATATATATATATATATATATATATATATATATATATAATACAGTTAAGTGTGTTAAATGTGTTGCGTTATGTCAAGTCATCTAACTCTACCGCCTGAAATTACTCACAAACCATTTGTTACATGAGAAAAATGTTTTAAACAAAAGCTGCGTGATAAAAAAAAATTAATTATTATACTATAAAATTCTCTTGGTATCGTAAAATTTTTGTTTCAGATATCCTTTCATGTAAAAAATGAATTTCGAATGATTTCAGTAACCAGTATTACTCATAAAATGAATATTTGTGTCTGCTGTGTTATTTTTTTCTTTGAGTTTGAATGAAAAATGTATGCACTTGTAGTTAAAGGGTTAATTAACGCGACATTAATATAAGAACAGCAGATTAGAAAGATAGAAAAATCTTCGACAACAATAATCTAGAATTTCATTCACGTTCCATCTGTGTAAAAGAATCTTATAAATAATCATCAAAACAACAGGCCGTACAATGGAAACTGCACAATACCGCAGAAATGTCTGTTTCGTTTAATAACCACGCGGCGGAAAAAAAAGAAAACACTAACAAACGGTCAATAAAAATTTTCATCTCGAAAATCAAAAACAACAGAACAACTTTCCGTTTCCGTTCAACGCAGTTTCGAATACGGATTGGATTGGATAACGTACGTGAAAACTTTCCCCGTTTAAAAAAAAAGAGAAAAAAAAAAGAAAAAAAAGTAAGAAAGAAAAAAGCAGCAGGAAGAAGAGAAAACAAAAGGTATATCAAATGGCACAGAACCACGAATGTCGAAAATTGGCCCGTCGGAGAAAAAAAAATGGTCAATTAAAAAAAATTTCTTTTTTTTTTCCACAAACGATGGCGACGCCTATTGAAAATAATTACGAGTCGAATCGAACGAGGGGGGAATGATCACCCGCCCAGGAAAATTGGCGGAATCGCGCGATACTCCCCCCTTTTATTCGCGACGCTTCTGCCACTGTGGTCCAGTTAATTTTGAAGTACGCAACCCCCTCTCGGTTGCACGGGCCGTGCTCAACAACCTCGTCGTGATAACGCGATTTCCGCTTCGAACTACGTGAATTCAACCGTGTGATGCTTGTTTATTCCAGAAGAACTGCCAGGGCAGCGGTTTGCGCCCGCTATTAACGAAACTGCGCTGTCGCGTTTATTTGCGTTTTATTATCTAAGATTCCCATTCCCGTCCCGGCTGAGAATTCGACGATCTCCTAAAATTTCCAGAGCGACAATTAAAATTAAAATTCTTCAAACATCCAGATCAGTGGTGCCCAATCTATTTTTCAGCTATGCTTCACGTATGCTAAGCGTAAATCTCTAAAATCCCGACGCCCCGTTCCTTTGACACGTAATTCTCATTATTCAAGAAAGTGAATTTTTAACGTGGAGGAAGCCTGAAAGCCGTTGTGCAGAAATACGCTGAATTCTACAACGATTGAAACTTATCTGTGATATCGAATGTCAACGACATATCTGATATTCGTGAGATTATGTAAAATTATAGATACGTTGTTTGTTGTTGACGATTCAGTCACAGTTATTCGTCGATAATCACGCGAAACACGAGGAGAACTGAAAATCAACCTCGACGGACCGACGACTCAGAAACAACAACTTTCGAGTCATCCCTCAAAAAGGAACTTCCTAAGCTTGCCGATAAATTTCAAACTCGATATAGATCCTAAAGGAATCTTTTATCTTCTTCTTCGAATATTACTACGTACATATATGTATGTACGTGGTGTGCTTCACGGCGAAGGTAATTCAAGAGTGTTGAGAAGAAAAAGAGAACGACGAAGCGAACTTTCGCGTAGTGTAACCAAGTGCAGTTACGAAAGGAAATTTTTCGAACAAGGATCAAGAAGAAGAAAAAAAAGAGAAAGAGAGAGAGAGAGAGAGGGGGGAAAAAAGACGACGAAAGAGAAAAGTGGAGAGTCGATCGGAGGAGGCGCGAAGCACGCGAAAGATAAGAGTGGTGGCAAACAGTCCCGTGTACAAAGCAAAGAATCGAACAGATGGAATTGTTCGTCTAAACGCGCGGCTCCCTGTAAATGTACTTCTTCAAACAGATACACGCGCGCCACTTACATCTTGTACCTCGTAGAAAGTGCGCAAACAACACCCGTCCCACCTACTGAACTCGTGAATTCACTTGGAAATCGCGTTTATCCATCGATTTCGTTCCAAGTCGAACGTGTCTAACGTGTCCTCTGTTACTTAACGCGATTAAACGTATAAACGTCACTGGAGGAACGACGAAAGTTCGTTCCAACAATTCCAGCCGTAATTACAATTGTAATTGTGCATGGTTCAATAAATGGTACCACCGATATCATCAAAATGGCGACTCTATAATTTTGTAGTATATTATTATTTTTGTAGCTATAATTTTGTGGTATATTACTTGGCGCAAAACACAAGACACGAAATAATTTTGTAAATTAACCTCTTAGCTCAGCAACTGAACTAAGGTCACTATAGCAATTTCCGCGTGTGTCATTTTACGCCATTACAGTGGCTCATTTGTCTCACAGTCAAAGAGTATACCCTGTTATGCTGTTACGATTTTTCAAATTCAATATAAAACAAACTTTGATCGATTCGTTCTTTCAATTTCAAAATTTTAATTCACTGGAGATCCATTCTAACGTAAATTACGTGCAATGGTTCGACAACTGCAAGTACCAATATCATCGAAACGACCATAATTTCCATAATTTCGTAGATTAACAAGGGTGTACTTTTATAAATTAATCTTGCAGCTATATTGTAGTAGCTTTCGCGTGTGTCATCCTTTTGAACTACAATGGCTCCCGTGTTTCTTGTAACAAGTTATACAATAAAGATTTTATAATAACAAATCAAATTCATAATACTGCAGTTAACAAGTTACGCGTATAATCATAGCCCCATATTATAAATTCGATCGTGCTCTTCAGATAAGAATGTTTCGTATGAGGGGAGGTTTTGATGAAACTTACCCTCGTACACCCAGTCCGGCACTCCATTATAAATGGTCCCGAAGACCCCAGTGTCTGTGATTTGATAGTCGACCGCCACTTCCGCTTCCGGTCTATAATAGATGTTGTTCTGGTACACGTACACCAGAGCGTTGCCACGTGGCGCCCAGGTAGCTAGTTGCAAGGAAATTGAGTCGTTCGCGGTCAACGAGCTCTCTGACCTGGAAAAAATTCGTTCAGACGAATGTTTAGTTATCTTTTCACGTCGCAACACACGTTCACGCGTTCCCCTAACCAAACTACGTTCGCGAGTGTGAGTTTGAGCAATTAACGAACGACTGTATTTACCCGTCGGATTTATCGAATTAGTTTTATAATTAAAACGCGAAAGTGCCGTCGACATTAACATGTTTTAATTAATCACGTTAACGTATTCATTCTGTTAATAGATTGTTGTTAATCATTGGCAATTAATTACATTATGCATATGCATGCGCCCGTAATTGATTATGCATGATATATTTTATTCAATTATGTATGACATATTTAAATTAATGTCACAAGTCGGCTGCTTGCAACGCACCCCGCCCTCCCCCAAACGACAGTCGTTGCGAACGCGATTGTTTTCAACGAACTTCGAATTATTAAACGAACATGTAACGTCGAAAACTTAAATGTTAAATAAATGCGTACCGCTAAACTCGTTGCGTTAAAATCGGATAACCGGCCGGATGCAAATGTGATTTTCAAGCTGGACCAAGGGTGGGGGTTATTTACTTGTCACAATACGTTATTATTGCCGATAATATCCTATAAATAACCGAATGAACGTGCGTTATTAATTGGACGAAACTAATAACGTCGCCGTGTGTATAAACTGGCAACAAAGTAGCAGTGAAAGTTAAGTACGTGCTCGTGTGCCACGCGACTGACGGGTTTAGATTATGCACGTAAGCGTCTCAAACGACGTGATTAACGCGCATTAATTAAACGAAGGTAACACCGTCCCGGTACGTACACTAAAGGTACATTAAAGGAACAATGAAGCACGTTTATACCACGCGATTGATAAATTAAGTCGCATCAACGATACCTTAATCCCGCGATACTCGAGCCACAGTCGAACCACGACGAGCTCTCCCTAAGAGCACTAATACCGACATTTTTCGAGAAAGAACGTGAAAAATGGTCGAACGACGTGACGAGCGTCGACGCAACGACACGCGGAGCTAAACTGACGACACGTGCCGCACAATCTCTCGCGGTAAGACGTCCGATTGCCCTTCGACTCGAAATTCAGTTCCACCTCGTTCTAGACATATTGACGACCATAAGAAACTCAATACAGAACGTCGAGTCGCAAATGTTTGGGTTTTTGTCTCGCGTGTTTGTCAAGCAGAGTTCCAAGGAATGTTGTACAACATTTTCGAAGAGATACAAAGTCAATTCGAAGTAGAGTCGCGTAGTACGCAATTAAGACTTCGTATTAAAGATACAATATTATTTCATGTTTCATTACATTATGTATTACATATCGTTGTATGTGTATATTACAATACGTTATTTATAATAGACGTAATGTACATTATTTTATATTAATTATTTCAAACATATCAATTATAGTGTACACGATTAATAACATTTCACAACGATGATAAAATGATACAGCCTAATAATTTTATGGCATAAAGAATTTCCTATTGAAGGTATAAATTTACTCTTTATACCTCGGTCATTCGACGTATGTACATCGATGGTTATTATTTACCAATTTATTATAATTATTTATAGGTATAATTATTTATATTTTATTATAATTATTTATAGATATAATTATTTACATTTTATTATAATTATTTATAGGTACAGATATAATTTTACTCTTTACACCCCAGTCATTCAACGTATGTATATCGATGGTTATTATTTACTAATTTATTATCGATGGTTATTATTTACTAATTTATTATAATATCTTTTATTATTATTATTATTTATAATTGATATTTATTAATTATAATTATTTATTAATTATATAAAAATATTACACGACCCACTGTCATTAACGTATTGTTTGTTTGATACTGTCTGCGAGAGAGACGCACAATAAAAGTTCTCAGAAACGAAATATTAAAAGGTGATATTAAATGCGGAACTTCACTGTATTAAACACAATAAAATGAAATAATTCGTTGCACCGATGAACGAAGAACGATCGAACCGACAACAGGACACACGATAAAACATATCCAAGTATCACGAGATTATTCCTAACTTAATCGTGGATTAAATCCAGAGCCTAATCGTAAGGCTTATGGAATCAAATCTGGAACAGGCCTCGATCTGATAGATACGCCACATTCTGAATCTGCCCTCTCGATCGAGAATTGGATCGAGAATTTCAGCAAACTCTGGCCGATCTTCTCAAGTTATTCGCGGCTTAACCTCTTCATCTCATCAGCGTATTCATCGGTCCTCGGCCCCCTGAACGATATCGTTGCCATTTGCCTAAGAGACTGCTTCTTCGACGGTGCTGGTACGGTATTAACGAGAAACGATCGAGAACGCGGCATTGGAACGATCGTGGAGTTGAACGAAGGGCAAAAAAGGAAAATGTCGAGCGAGAAAACGGCGTCGTTCCCGTAACCTGCAGCGCGATAAAGCGGCGAGATATAAATGGTCGGACCGGAGGATCCTTCGTTCGTGCAGTAACAAGCAGCCATTCGATCCTGTTCGATCAGAATTGCTACGGATGAAAGTACTATTCGCCCAGTTGGGTCTGCTGAACGAAACCGGGAGCCGCAAACGCGCTCGTTGAGACACAGGCGGGAAGGGAAGGGAAAGAAGCAACGCGTGTTCCCGATGCCGCGATTACTCGGCGTCGTCGAAATGCATACGAGCAGCGGCGCGAGATCCTTATTTCAGCGAAGGCAGTAAAGGCGGCTCGGACGTAAACCAAAGCACTACTCGATCCGCTCTCGCACCGAGATTGCCGCGTTACAGAAAACGATTCCTGAGGATAGCGATGTCAGACTGCAGAGGACTCGATTCTCGGAGGCTGATTAATATTTACGTGTATTCCGATAGAATATTGGCGTTGCCAAGAAGATTTTCAAGCGTAATTAAAATTGTGCATTGCAAGTTGGGGAAGATTCTTCTTTCGTCAGCTGACAGGACACTTTAAGGGTAAGTTTCTTTGTGATTTGGAAAAAGAAAATGGAAACTAACGGAAATTATTTTTTTCAGTCTCTGTTGAGTTTTTTTTAATCGACTGTATGGAAGATTTTTACAAGGTAGCAAGAAAATTTAATGTAGTAGGTTTGTGATTTAAGATAAAACTGAAATGGAAACTGACAAGATTATAGTCAAGTCTTTTTAATTTACTAGGAGAAAGATCACTATAAGGTGATAGAAAATTTAAATAGAACGAAAATGGAAAATAATGTTTAAATTGTACTCCAGTCTTTGTTGATTTTTTGATTCACCGTGAGAAAGATCTTTATCAGGTGACAGGAAATCTTATGGACAGTTTTGTGATGTAAAGTAAAATGAAAATGCTTTGAACGTTTCCTAATTAAATTACGTGTTTCATAAAGAAATTATCGCACAAGCCGATAGGCATTTACATTTGTTTCGAAGATGTCGAGGAAATTTTTAAGCAGAATGAAACGGATTTTCGCAGCCGAGATTCAAAAGGGCAATGAATATACGATTCTACACAGCGGTGCAAAATCCATTACCACGTATACTACTTCAAACTGCGTTCAATATTTGCTTGCAACTTTGTGGCAAACTTGTAGCATATTACGCGGTTTGCCGGCAGTTTGACTGAAAAAGTTGGAAACAGTCCGTGTATATGTACGTTTTATCTATACGGTGTACTGTGGGAAATTATACCCATATAAAGATATGAACTCGGACTACATAAATACATTATAATAATTTGCCAAACTTTAAACTTTACTTTTAAACTCTACAGTCCTTTAGACGTCCAATTCCGACACTAATGAGCAGCTTGACTAAAAGTGTTAAGAAAACTACTCTGAAATATTTATTCGCGAAACAATATACTGACTCCGACGAACTCTCAACGCTTTAACAATACTTTTCACGCTTCTACGGTTTCGTTCTACGCGGCACGTGGCTCTCGCTTAAATTATCCGAATCTTTAAGGCCGTTCGTTTAATTGAACGGGAGGAGTAGCTTCCTCAGATTCTTCGTCACGGTGGAATACATTTTCAAGATGTAGATGGACCTTCTCCACTCGGAGCCTTGTTTCTTTCTTTTCTTTTTCTTCTTCTTCTTCTTCTTTTTTCTTCTTTACAACGGTACGCCGTTTTACGAGAACGTTGTTCGGGGGATTCTCCCGAGCTTTTCAGCCAGTTGGTAGATTCTTGGTTTACGTACACCCTCTGCTGGAATATTCGATACCAGAGAGTCTGGATCCTGCCTCCAAGATCATGGGAACTTGATTAAAATGCCGCATCGAGTTTGCTGGCGGACGTTAGGTCGACTGTTAAATATCCTCGCATTGAAAATCTTTGAATTAACATCGCCGTTGATAATGAAATACCGAAGGCGGAATTTCCTCGGGGACGCTGCGAGCGTTTATCTGTCCGTGTTCTTCCAGTTTTACTGCTAAGATAGTTTCATTGTTATTCCGAGAACGACGTGTCGTTGCGACGATAGATATTTCTTAAACAAACAGATCGTTTTGAATGATCGTGGAACTTCACTACCGAGGCAATTCAGACACAAAAGTCAACAAACGAAATTTTTGTGCATTCATCACGAAATATTAGAAACTTTCGAGAGACCAAAATCCTCCAACCAAATCGCGGGTCATCGAATTTCATTCGTCTCGCGTGAAAATTAATAGTGTTCAAAATTATATACAATGTTACCCAGCTCGCTGTATTACGATAGAAACAACGGAAAATTGAACATCTCGTTCACAATAAAAATTAACTTAAACAAATAAAATAAATATTATCAAGATAATACATAAATGTATCAATAAAATCATTCGTTAAGTAATAATAAAACTCGAAACGAAAGTCACCTCTCTCAAAGATGTACGAAAAACTTCTGAGAGCCAGAGACGAGCTTTGAATTTCTAAGCACGATCTCCAATCCTTTTTGCTGAAAATCCTTGTAGACATTCTTAAAATCGAGAAAGAGATCAAGGATCTCCACCGAATTTAGTTAAATGACCGGTGAA